TTTTAATTTGACTCGGAAACTATTCAGTTTCTATTTTGTGGTTGGTACTTTGAAATTGCTCTGCTGTAAATGAGATAGGATTTAGCGACACCAGAAGTGACACCAGAACCAGCTTACAAGTATCCTGCAATTTTAGAGAGAAATAAACAAGTGAACTTATTGTCAGTGGGTGGATCTTATAATGGTATATAAAACAGAGAACATTATTGTGAAGGCCAAATGTGTCTGCATGGTTTAATTTGTATGGTTCTTGCTTCTTGAATTAGGGTATGGAAACCCCATGTTTGGACTTTGAGCTCATCGTCGAATCTAACTGACTTCAGTAGTGCTGAAAGAGCGCTGCATATGTGCCGTCCTTAATGTGAGATGATAAATCGATGCCCTATCTGCCTGTTCAGGCAGAGTTTATATCTTACCTTTATATAGCATTCTTCATACAAGAATATCTCATAGCTTCTGAATACCTGGGTTAGTTGCTGAGCAATAGAGAGTGAAAGGAGAGGTGAACATAGATGTGGTTGAAAGGTTTTAAGATGGGGTTTGAAGGTGGAATTGCTAACCAGCAGTTATCCAGAAAAAATGGTTACCTCTTGGGTCTTGCTGTGTGCAAATTAATTGCTGCGGTGCCTTACAGTCACAGGACATTTTATAGTATACACAAGTGCTCTGAGACATTTTGATGTGCCTTGGTGCTGTATCAAATACAAGGATAATTATTATCAAATGTTATTGTTCCTTGTCAGCTGCTAATTCTAATTAATAGCTGGAAGGGTGGACTCTAGAAACAACTTGAGGTCAACAAGAGTTGGAATGTTGGGTAAATTTGTCTTGTGATCTCAAAACTATGAAGCACAATATGTTTTAATTGTCCACTATCATTAGTTTTCTTACTTTTTATGTGTTTGTTAAGACATAACGATTTTGTTCTGTAGTTGCCTTGGATTTTCTAATGTGCTTAAATTTCCAAATGATTGGGTCATTTCAAATTTGATTGTATTATGAGACTGGGGGACAGATGCCTGATTCAATATTAATGAATGATTAATGAGAAATTGGAAGCTTTTCAGAAAGGTTGAACAACATCCTAGGTTTTGCTGTTTAAATTTACGCTGTACCAGGGTTAATTTTTTGATTTTACCCTTTTGACTGTTAAACTACTGTCATGTCTCAAATTTTGCATCTGGGATCTGATTTTACAATTGGTTATAATGGTTGATTCAATTCGTAGGTAGAAATGCTGACAAAAATCCACTATTGAAGTAGTCAAGGTCAATATTTATGCATTGAACCTGAACTAATTATTTAATGTGTGAAATGCCTACCAACCTGCCTGCTGCCCCCATTCAGTGGGCTCCGGTCTGCTCCATGTTTCCCGCCCGACCTGCTTTACCATCGGTGGCCGGACTTTCAGCCTCTCAGCCCCCACACTCTGGAACGTCATCCCACAGTCCCTTCGCCTCGCTTCCTCCCTTGCCTCCTTCAAGGCAGGTCTCAAGACCCTTCTCTTTGATCGTGCCTTTGGTCAGCCTCCCACCTCTCTGCCTTCCCTCACCCCTCCCTACCCTACTCCTCCCCCTTGCTCGGGCCCTGACACCTGACTGTTCAGCGCTTTTGGACGTCCTCCCGATGTAAAAGGCGCTCTACAAATGTAATTTTGTTGTTGTTGTTGTATGTGAGCTTGAACGCTCTTACCCATCACATTTTTGCTGGCTGCATTCTATTTAAGCTTGATCTCTACTTTTTGATACAATTTGAAATTTGTACATTAGTGCTGTAGTCAAACCTAAATACAGTAAATTCCTGATAATGAAAGACTAGCTTAAATAATCATGTGGCTTAAGAATCAAGGTGTCAATATCCTGGCTGTTTCCCATGCAAAATGTGAATAAGGGACTCTGCTTAAAACCTATGCAGTTAAATTCTAGAAGTCCCATAACATAATTAAACTAGATTGGATAAATCATCCGGCGTGAATATATATAGCACTATATAAATACAAGTTGTTGTTGTTCTCTAGTAGAATAGTTAGATCTTTAGCCTGTTGGATTTAGTTAGTTGTTTGAATTCAGTGTAGAAACTGATTTGTTCCATACGTGTGAATATGTTGAGTGAGTGAAATAATTTAAATTATCTATGGTGGAAAACTGAATTGGACCTTGGGGAAAAAATATTTATCCAAAACTTAAACATTAGTTACTTTTATTTTCTTTCTCCAGAAAGGTAATATAGTGTTCCACCATAGGTAGTTAATGTAAATGGTCTGTTTTACTAATTCAAATATAAGCCAAGTTTGTCTGCAAATTGCCTCAGTGATCACAATATAAATATGTTTTAGGAGTTTTGGACTTTTTATTATGAGCTTTTATTATTTTATTATGAGCTTAAAACAATGATAGTTATTTTCTGATTGTGGATTTGAGTTTGCATTGAATAATTTATCTAACTTGCTGAACTTTGAGAAAAGTATATATTTTCAAAATAAGTTTCAATCTTGTATAATCTTGCTTAAATGCTGTTTAAGATCTTTCAAATCACCCTCTATACATATCTAACACGGGTGTTATTTTAAATTCCAAATTTCTTATGCGATTTTGTGGCATCTGTCAAAAAAATTTAAATCAGCTGTAAGAAAATTGATATACCATCTGCTGCCTGAAATGCACCTGTTTTAGTCAGGTAAAGTGACCAGTTGCTGAACATTGCAGATGTTTTAGTTTGTTAATCAGCTCCTCTAGTATATGTACATTAGATTTTTTAAAAATGGTTTTATATGTTGCCACAACTATTTTCAAGGCATTTGGTTTATAATTATATATGGATCAGATTTGTGTTCTGCTTCTGTGCTAAGAAACTAACTAATCTTTACATTTAAATAAACTTGACTTAAGATGGTACAGAGTAGGATATTTGTATGGGATTTAAAGATCTTCAGCACCTTTGTCATCTTCTGTTAACAAGAACAGTACTCTAATCAGACTTGATGTAAATTTACCTTTCATTGAAAAATATCTATCTTCATGGTTTGAGTGAGGACAAGCAGCATCCAGTGAGTGTGGTGTGTTAGCTCAGTGAGTAGTTAAAGATCCAAATTTTGAGAAAATAGGCTTTTGTTTCCTGTAACATTAAGTTATAAGTTCACAGCATGCCTGCTAGATAGAAGTTGCTATTCAGTTTGAACATTCAGTTTGTGACTGGCTCAGCTAGCTTTCGTTGTTAAATAGCTCCATGATTCATTTCAGTGTGCCTTCAATGTGAAGAATGGCCACCTTGACAAAGTGCTAGAGAGCTGCTTGTCTTTAGGGAACTGTAACACTGCATGATTTGCGGATGGAGTATAGGGAGAAGTGCAGATTAATTTCTTAGTGGTTGCTTATTTTAACAAAACATTGGTATTCAAAATGTGAAACGTTTAAACTGTTTTTGCAGGAACGATTTTGCAATTGAACTAACCCTTGTGGGAAATCTGAAACCATTGCTGTTTATTTCTTTACCATTTATCCAGCTACTATTTCATAGATTACCATGGTGCCATTTTATTTAATCCAAATCAAAAACAGTAGTTTTCATTATCATGCAACTTCGCATATTGACAGTGAGAGAGGACATTTTTCCTTCAGTACTTTGCTGAGCAAATTGCAATTTGCTTATGCATGAAGCATTTTGCAAATTTTCCAAACCTACTGCCTCCAAATATTTGTTCCTTAAGAAATTACAAATGAAGATTTCAAATTGGGGGCTGTGTGCTATAGGTGTAAATTGGTAACACTTCCCTGAAATTATCCTCTTGATTCCTGCGTCCAATAATGTCCTCTGATAGTTAGAGGATCAATAGAGAATAATTTGGGAGTGTATTTGTAAACTAAAATTCTTTCTCCCATCCAAATTTTCCATACTACTGATTGAATATCTTAAACCTACTAGAAATATCGAGCTCTTTTGAAGAAACCCTGGAAAGATCAGTATATTTTCTAATAAATTCTAGTCTTAATCTACATTAAGTGAGATACGTCTGTCTATAACTTTAACAATTGCTCAGGCTTTGTATTAGTAAGATCTAATCGGAAGTTAAAATTTTAATTTAGTTCATGCATGTGTGCCCCAAAAGCCATTTGTCTGTACATGTGGAGGACTTTATCCAAAGGATAAATTGGGCAGCACCAAGTTGAATATATGTTTTAAATTGTATTCATATTTAAACTTATTTGAATAGCACTCATGGCAACATTAACTATTTACTATCAAAGAGAGCAGTTTCAATTCCAATAAACACATCAGAAGCATTTTCAATCGTGTGTTGCCCTTATATAATTCTACCTGCAGCTGATTATGTTCAATATTTTTTTCGTTTACAGTGGACTTCCACATATCTGAAATACTCGGGACCGGAGGTATTTTGGATGTGCGAATATTTTGGATAAAGGGGGAGTTTATGGCATAAAATGCAGTAGATTGGGCTCTAGCGACCTGAATGGGGTCTGCGCAGGGTGGGCTGGTTGTGGTGGGTGTGGTGTTTGCTCAGAGGATCTCCGAGCTGGGTGATGGCTGCTTTCCTCATGTTTGTCCAATGTGAGAGGCTGTGGCGACCAGAGGGAGCGCAATGTGCTGGAGCAAGTGAGAAGCAGCGGCTGAACCAGGTAGGTGTCGCGGATAACTGAGTGTTGGATACGCGGAAGTCTACTGGTATTTCTTTTGGGTGAAGGGTAAGGAAAAGCACAGTGCTTTCCTACCTTTGAGAAAACTTGCTCACGCGTGCTCTTTGAAAAATGTCTCTCTCATTCCTGTTATGTATGGTAAACCATTGTGTGACTTTGCATGGTAAGTTGAAGGAAAATTTGCATGCCATTCTCCATTATTCTAGTGACATTGTTTGTTTTTGTGAAACCTTGCTATTCATTTGACAGAGGTTCCTTTTTATGTTTGTCTACATGTATGATCCTCCATTAGTTTTTCACTACACTATGCCCATGTTTACCCAATTTTCTTTTCTAATTTATGCACAGCACATGCTCTGAAATTTGGGGACTGAGTTCACCTGGTACAGTAGATCAGTGGGATACAACAGGCCTTTACAGCTTTCCTGAGCAAACCAGGTGAATATACAGCGACTAAAAGCTCTGTTCTTTCACATAGTAGGATGCTGGGATTAATTGGTGGGTTGTTGGGTCATTTCTGAACTGTCAGTATTATTTGAAATATACCTTATTGTCTTGTTAGCTATATTTTTAATTTGTATCATTGATTTTAAAAGGATTATTTTAGCTTCATATTGTTTTGCCAGATTAATCTTATAACAATATTTTGTTTCGTTAGTTGGTTTACAGGGAAATGAATAGGAAATCATTTAAAATGAGTTAATTTAGTTACAAGGAAAGATAATCGATATATTAAGAGTTGAGGTTTTTTTTATACTTCGTTAGTAAGTTGCTAAAGACCCCATTATTCTTTAAAAGATTTTCCATTTCTTATAGCTTTCATTTCCTGCATACTTTTGCTTAAGAGCTTACATTTTCAATGAATGGAGTTGGAGTTCTGACGATTCAGAAAGCATACCAGTTTTTTAATATAACAAAATTAGCTAAATTTTGTTGAGAACTTCCAGAGTAAAAATGTGTTTTGAGCTCAGGCAATACACTCGAGTGTTCTATCACTGTCTCTAAGTAAGGCAATAAATTGCTGTGTGTGTGGTGCAATTATACGATCAATATTTATTCCCTACGGCAATGAATAGTCCACCAGGTATCTTTGGAAGTCTCTGCTCTGTGAGGAAGGAACCATTTTGCTTATTTAGATCAACATCGGCAGCTCGGTTGGTCTTTTCTAAGCCAGAAGACTTTTCTAGGTCAGAAGACTACTCATGTCTGGACAAGCTCATAGACGCTCCATTTCAGTACTGGAGGGTGCAACATTTTCAAAGTTGTTGCCTTCTGGATGGATGAGTTATTAGATCGGGTTCTGATTTATCTGTTCAGATCCCACGGCAAAGGGAAGGGAGTTTCTCCTGGTGTCTTCGTCAACATGCCTCTGATTGTTTATTGATTTCCTAGCTGTTTATATGACCTTACCAAAATTGTGGCTAGGTGAGATATCAAAATTCTCTGCCATTCATTTTAGATGCTGTTCTTGCAGCTTAAGATAGAAGAGTGAGTGAACTCCACCATATCATACCTACCTAGTCTGATGCATGCCAATCTTCCTAAAAAAAATCTACATCTTTAACTGCGCCTGCTGTCACACCCCCTCCTCCCCCCCCCAGACACTTAGTTATTTGATGTGTAACCCACCTTTGTGAAGTTGTCGATCGTTAGTCTACTTGAAGAGTACTGTATAAATGCATGTTGTTTCCAAGTCTCTGTCTATCAGTGTTACTCTTCAGTCAGTTAAGGTGACACAGTGCGAATCATACTACTACTAATAATAATGCTACTAATAATACTACTAATAATAATTCTACTACTAATAATACTACTACTAATAATACTAGTACTAATAATAATCCTTGCATTTGATATAGCGCTTTTCACATCTTCTAGACGTCTCAGAGCGCTTTGGGAATATACTGTAAAGTCAATTGACTGTATATTTGTGGGCAAAATGCAACAGCCAGTTGCGCTCAGCAGTGTCCCACAAACAGACCCACAAACAGTCATGGACTGAGTGACCATTTTCTGGGATAACTTTTTTTGAGGGTTTATTATCCCCGGAAAAACGATCTGCCAATTGATAACAACTGGGTTCCTACTTACTGCTAAGTAAACAGGTGTGTGGAGTGGAGTAAGGAAACTTGTCCAACATTTCGTCCTTTTAGGAATTGAACACAGCTCTCGTGCGAGGCGAGTGCTCTTAACCACTGAGCTACAGGACTCGAACAATTTAGTCCACATTTTACATTACAATTTAGTCCATGTTTCATGTAGACCCAATGTCTTTTGTGCATATCTCAAGTAAAGAATTGCTATATTTCACATTGGTAGGTGAGTCGTCAGTCATTCTGTCCGTTTTCTGGAACTCTACCCCAGAGACCCTATGAGCAAAAAAAATCTTCAAATGAAAAGTTTCACCACAGTAGCTGATTGTTGCAGTGGAGGAAGGTCTCTGTCCTGGTTACCATCTCTTCCCTAGAAAAAGAATGTGCATTTTGTTTACTTACCCATCTCAGGAACTGAATTACCGATAAAGAATAGACTCATTGCCAAGCTTGTCACCTTAACTTAAACGTGTAGAATTCTTGAAAGTGCTGCTTATTTGGGTCCTATAGAACCATAGGTCTAGGAAACGTTTTATTTCTGGTCTTTGTATTTTGTACAAAGATGGAGTGGGGCAGATGTCTTTAGCTCATTGTATACTGACAACAAGATCCTGAATTTTATTAACACAGATGATGAAATCTCAAGATTTTGCTGCTGTTAATCTAAAAAAATTCATCTCCACACGATGATCAGAGAATTGCTACATTCTACATAGTCTTGTTTTGGCAGATCGGTTGGTTATACATACAATATCCAGTAGTGTTCCTTTAAGCAGCTTGAGTACCTATTCCTATTGAAAAGATAGATATATCTTTCTGTCATAGATTTCACCCTGCCTAAGCAAAGGTTATCTTGCTAAAAGGTTATCTATACTATTTGACCCTTGCCTCCACGTAGGCAAGTCCCTGAGTAGCATCAAGATATTTCTGCACTTTATTTGGCATACCTAACTGAATAGCTATTTCCTGTTCCTACGTTCCTTAGACCCAGTGGTTCCAATTCCCATTATTTTTGAAAACATTACCTCAACTGCATTCCAGGGCTATCCATGAACAGCATTCCTCATGCTCATAATTATGCAGTCTGTCAACGTTAGTTACTCGACCTATGTCAGTATTCACAACAAAATGTTCCTGAGCCTGGGATGTAAATCAGTGTATTATCTTCAAAGAAGGAACACTATAGGAACACTGCACTGTAATTGCAAGATGCGTGAGTCTTACGAGTAGCTGATACCTTCTCAAAGGATAGGGTCCATTTCAAGAGCTCTTGATGTAGTTCTCGCAATAACCAGGAACTTGTAAATGGGTTCTGTCGTGAGCAAGGGAAGAAGGGACTGCGTTCAGCTTGCTTAATGTTAGATTTTTTTCATTGGTTATGCCGAAATCTCAAGACATTTTGTCTCCTAAGCTTCTCTGAGGTGCGGTTCATTGGAGACAGCCAAGCCTCACAGATGAACTCTCCAGGGATAGTTTCTAGAGTGGAGCTTCATAGTAACATCACAAATTGAGGTTCCCTCGAACCAATTCCCATTTGCAACCAACTAGACCACCCGCACTCTCACATTAGCTGATTACATAGCAGCAACTATGGAGCAATAACAGTTATGAATGGACAAATGCTATATATCGCCTTTTGTGTCACCCATTACCAAATAATATCTCGGTGTGTAAGATAGGATAAGGATTTGTAACTGGAAATCTATTCAGTTACTAATATTACGCTCATAAGCACAAGACAATTTTGCAAATAGTTGCAAATAGAAACAGGAGCATTCAGTTTCTGATCCTTTTTCATAGCATAGGTAAAAAGATTTGATATTATTTTTTAAATACGGGTCTTAAATCAACTCTATTCAAATCATGCTTGTACAGCTGGTTGGTTAGCAATTTCTCTCCCTCAGGGAATAATCTTTGAATGAGAGTTTTCTCAGAGCCCTGTGTTTACTGGAACTAACACAATCCCTGTGTTCGTTAAACCACAGTTAACCCTCTATCCCAGCCTTGTCTTACAACTGTGTCTATAGTGTTCCTTTTAAGCTGAATAATTCATTGATTTATTGACTGGCTCTTAAATATGACCTGTCAGAATCACTGCTGATGAATGAGGCCCAAGTGAGCAAATGCAAAGTGAGGAGAAAGCTTTCACTTGGCAGCTACATTAAATGTCCCTTGTGTTTCTTACGAGTTCAGAAATACTGTTGTTTACAACTGGTGAGGAGGCTTGCAATTTATAAGGTGGGAATGATATATTTTGCATGCTTGTTAAAATTTATCACCAAGCTGTTTTCATCTGCTCAAAGCTAAGCCAGTCAGCAGCTTCAGAGCAGAGCCTGATCTTGCATTCAATTTCCAAAATAAGCCATTACACAAGTTGTGTGGCAAGACAGAAAGGCCCAAGACTCTGTTCACCTGGTATGTATAGCCAGATTAGGTGAAGGATTGTACCATTACCTGCTTATCAGCGTCTTATTTGCCTTGAAGATGTCCACTCGAATGGGCTAAGAGAGAGGACTGACTTGCTTAGTTTTTGGCTCTAGGGAATTTTTTCAACACAAATGGTAAACCTGTAGCTCGTGGAGTCCTGTAGCTCAGTGATTGAGCGCTCGCTTTGCAAGCGAGAGACCTGGGTTCGATCCCCGGCAGGGTGAAACCTTGGGCAAGTTTCCTTACACCACATGCCTGATAATAATCCCTCAAAAAAGCAATAATAAATTGGTCACTTCAATCCACGACTGTTTGTGGGACACTGCTGTCGCATTTGCCCACAAATATACAGTCAATTCACTTTACAGTCTTCTGTGAAGCGCTTTGAGACATCTAGAAGACGTGAAAAGTGCTATATCAAATGCAAGAATTATTATTATTAATAATTCTTGGTTCAACACAGTAGAATACTATGGCTTTTCAAGATCAGGTTCACCAAGAAAAACTTCACAACCTCTGTGATTGAAGTACTATCCTGGTCTTTCGGAAGTCTCAACGCTGAATACATCAATGGGAAATGAAAGCCATTTATTGTGAATGACAGCTGTAACTCTCGGATACAGTCTAGCTACCATCTCACATCACTGAATTCCTCCTCACCTAATCTGATGGATAAATTCCATTTAGAAACGCTGTTCAGATGCCATTCATTCATGAATTTGAATTTGCTTTTGAGAAAACTGATGTTCTATGTTCTCCTGAGGTGTTAAAATTGTACTCTACTGTTTGTTAGCTCTTATGTTAGTACATTATATAGGATCAGTGCATTATATAGGATATGTTTTGCTGCTCTTTATTTCAGCTGAGGTTATTCATCCATTTACATATCTCCCATACTTGAATTTGGAAACAAATCAA